GGGGGGGCAGGATGCAGGTCATACCTGTAGACCAATGACACTGATAGCACTCTTTCAAAACAAAGATGGACAGTGTTATTTACTTTTTCACAGGTACTAGTGTGTAAGTTCTTGACATGGCACCTTGATATTTAGATTTCTGCTAAGTTTTAACATGAACCTATCTATTTATAATGGAAATTCAACTATTTCCACTAGCTATCTGGTGTAAGTTAGGCAGAGCATGTCATTTTGACTTTCTGTAAACAGACAATGCTCAGCCATAACTATTCTAATACAAACACACCTGCTCCTCAAAAAGGCCCCTCCTCTTTGAGAATATTCATTCTTTTAATCTCAACAAATGTACCTTAACCCTAAAGAAAAATAACACAGAAAGAAATGTAACAATCATCTTTTTGCAAAAAAACGCAACTGAAACATGACTAATGAAGCAATTAATAAAGTTCTAAGAGAAGTGTTACCATGACATATATGTAGACTGGTACATAAAGGTTTAGTATAGGCGGCTTAGAGAATAACAACTAAAGATAAACATCCTTAGATGCTCAGCCAAATGAAGATCCTTTTTCTTTTAATTTTCTCTTAACTATGTATTATAGATTATATGAAAATAAAATGACTACTTGAACTTACCATTCCACTGGAATTATTTATTCCATTCATATTAATTTTGGTTACAAATCTAACTGATGGAGGAGCTTCGGGGTATTTAGGTCCACATTCTACTTTCAGGCTATATATTCTGTTTTCATAATTTGTCTGGAAGGCAAAAAAATAACAACATTCAAGTAATAACAAAGGAAAAGTAAAACAGGAAAAAAAATCAATGTATGTATGATCAAGAATTTACTTTTTACACTTACATTTATCTGTATATAAATGAATGGTTAGAACAGATGCAGTTATCATACTTAAAAGGTTTTTTTATAATTTTTTTATAAAATTAAATATAAAACTATATCAAAATGTAATGGAATTTGCTTTTTGTGGTACAAACAATGCCAATAAAAGTCAAAAGGGGAAAAAAATCAAACCTCTTAAATTTAGGTATTACTAAAAAGTTTTCATCCATAGGGGAAGTTAACCATTTGACTATGCTATGCACGTGCCGTGTGTGCGCGCGCACACACACACACACACACACACACACAAAGATTCAGGTTTGTACAGGACAATTCTGTTTAATCCTACTGTCCCAGTATTAATTATTAACAGTACTTGTTTTCTCCTCAGAAGGTTCCAGTTAAGACAGTAAATTCTATGGTTATCCAACATATAACAATAACTTCTAATAAACAGAATAACACCATATTTCCCATTTACTGCAATAAAACATGATTACTTCATTTCTCTATTAACATTTATATTAATATTTTACTCTGTAGTCTTCTTAATCTGTTATCTGAATTCAGAGACATAAGAGCAAACTTTGTTTTCACATAATTTTAAAATACTTTCTTAACTGAGAAGTTTAATATTACCATATTTATAAAAGACATTTTAAAGCTACCAGAGTTAATGCTGCTAAATTAATAGGGGTTATTTTCATGCCTATAATTAACTTTTCTTTTCCCTTATGTTTTGCTTATGTGGCTTAGTGCACAATTCAAACAGGTAAGTAAAAAAATAGTAACCGTGACAATTTAACACCAGTTCTTATATAAATCTCAGGGGGGAAAAGCTAGCTCTATAAATTCCACTTGCCCAAAGTGATCCACAATTTCCTTTCCTTAAGTAATGAGAGTTACTCTAAGTGGAAGTAAGACCTGGAATATAAACCTTGTACAAGTATAGTTAAATATTTCAATATTCAAAAAAAAGCTGTATAAAGTTAGTATTCAAGTTTAATAGCCAACATATATTAACTATAAAACTAGCACTTTGGCTATGTATAAGGACTGTGAGCAAACAGATTTCAGAAATGATATACGGTTCTACACTCAGGATATACATAAATCTCTAAAATGTTTGCATTATATAAAAAAATTAATTTCCAGGAAATTCCTTAATATTAAAAATACTCAAAAGTATGTGAAAGTAACTGGAACTCTCCTACTTCGCTAGATGTAGAAAATGGCATAACTGTTTTGGAAACAATTTGCTATTTCTTATAAAAAGATAAATGAGCATATACCTACCCAAGAGAAATGCATTAAAACCTAGGTTCACAAAGACTTACAAAGAATGTTCAAAGCATAAAAGCCAGAAAGTAGAACACATTCAAAAGTGATTCCTGATAAACACATTCTGTTACACACATACTGTAAAATACTACTCAGTAGTGAAAAGATGTAGTACTTTACAGGATTCAACACAGCTGAATCTCAGACATTACAGAGTCAAAAGAAGTTCACATTGCATGATTCTACCTCCATAAAGTTCTCCAACATGCTAAACTACTCTAGGGTGGAGGAAGCAATGATGGGATGGTGATAAGGATGCAAAGAGGGAAGGAACTCTCTGGAGTGACTGTTCTGTATCTCCACGAGGTTATGGGCAACAAGATACTTTTATCAAACTCATAGATATGTGTGTTCACTGGATGTAAATTATACTTTAAGATTAAAAAAAAACTGTTGACCTGTTTATTTAATCCAAAATTTAAGAGTAAATACCATCCTAACTTTTGATACCTTGATTTTATTTTATCACCTCTAAACTTTAATAGCCAATTCTTTTTGTTATTTAACAAAAGAGCAAAATAAAAGAGAAAAGAGAGTAGCAAAAGGAATAGTATTTATTATACACTATAGTCAAGTACAGTAGTGTGTTAATCATTTAATTCTCAACATTTCTGAAGACTGGGATAGTACCTCCCGTTTACATAAAAGGAAACCGAGAAGTTACTAACCCTAATGCGAAAATATTGCTTCAGAAACACATAACCATGAACACATATGAAATAGCAATTATTGGAATAACATTAAAAAATAAGTATCTTCGGCCCTCCCTAGATACTGGTTACAGCACAGCACAGCACTATGAAGCTACTGCACTGGTTAAAGCACAGCACTATGAAGCTACTGCAGTAAATGCAGCTCAAGTTCATCCCCAAGCAGGGAGGTGACCCACCTGGTGTGGCAGACAGCTCCTGATCCACCCACTGCTCCCTTCAGTAGTGTATTTCAGTACATCTACCTGTTCTGCTCCCCCCTCTGTCTCTGATGAATCCTCTCAACCTGTACCTTCTGCTGTACCCCAGTTCTGTATATATAAATACATAAAGCTTTGAAATAAAAAAGTGTCTTAATAATAATAAAACAAAAACAACTAACCAAGCAACAGGATATTAAGGTAAGATTCCTATTTTCCTGTTTGAATACAGGTATGAAAAGATGAGGGCAAATGGCCTTTGCAAGGTACTTCCTCCTTCTGACCTTCCTGGCTCCCAAAGGAAATAAACCAAGGCTCAAAAATTGCTTGCCACAGAAAGAACCTCATTAAAAAGAAGCCCAGCATGGCTGTTGGCAGCATCTTGCCCTGTAGCCTATAGAGCAGTTTCTCTCTCCACTGAAGTTAAGAGCCTTCACCCCCAGCCGGGCACAGCCTGTACAACTTCCTATAGTTGATAACAGGTAAGGCAGCTGGGGGAGTGCTATTAATGATCATACTGGGTGACAGTTCAAGCACCAGCATTTGTGAATGTATAGCAGCCTCCAAAATACCTGATGACTCATACATAGGTATGAAAGCATTCTTAAAATTTAAAATCCCACTGAAAGTAGTAACTGGAGAAAATCCAAGTCTAAATAATTTCAACTTTATAATACACCAAGTTGACTGTCAAATCTTCAAACTATTCAAAAATTAAGAATGTTTATAAGTTATTAGCATATTTTTTAAACCAAACATACCATGGTAAAAATATTCAATCAGTGAAAAGTTGAGATTTTCATTAAAATACCAAATTATGAAACCATCAAGAATTTTAACCTTCAATATTGCATTTCCTTCCTCAAATGTCTTATAGAAAAATTAGAGCAGGAAATGGAAGAGAGAAATTATCAGTTAGTAGAATGCACAAATTTTACAAAGAAAATCAGGAAATATAAAACATACATTAATTCATTCTCTAAAATTAACATTGCTAATTACCTGATAGATTTTTCTTTTGGATCAAGGGGAAATCTAAACTCTAACAAACAGCAAAAATGTTGAAATGCTCTCAAAACAAGGTAGCAAACAGTATACAACAAAAGCAAAGAAAACCTCCAAATTTGTGTTCATTTCAGCAAGTCAAAAACATACAATTTAAAGACTCAATGCATGGAATGGAGTAAATGAACTTATAAGGAATGCTACAGAAAAAAAAAAAAACCCAAACTGAAAAATAATTGAGTAAAATAAAATTTCATTTAACTTTAAAAAGACCTTAGAATAAAGTACATTGGACCTGTTACCGACAACACTAGAAAATATGGAGAATCATGGATGTTTCAATCATTTTACAGATGAAGAAATATAGGCTTATAACATTTATATAGCAAGTCAAATATCAGAGCAAATAGCACATGTTCTCAATACAAACCAATTTTGAAACTTTTGGTAACACACAAGTGGGTTAATAGTGATAGAGGCCAAAACAGATTGCTCTTTCTAAGTACTGCCTCTATTTCCTCAGCTTCCCTCCCCTCTATCTATATCTCCATACCGCAACATCACTTTCTAAAATCCTACCAGTCAGTCCTTTAAGGTTAATCCTTAAAGGCAAATTTCTTCCACCACTCAGCCTTACTCTATTATTCCAACTAGAAGAAACATATTCTGAAGAACTTGGTGAACTTCCTCTGCCAAATTTAGAATCTGTCATTTATAATTTTTCTCCTACCTTGATGGCAATGACCATATCAATCTTTCCTACCAATCCTCCAGAAAAACAATAAATAAATAAAGCATTATATCTTGCACATAAAAATATCAATAAATATACAAAATAGAATTCATTTAGAAATTACATTTTACTTTAATATCAACATTATAAAAGGAAATGCTTACTCTAAAGTGACAAATATTTGAAAAAATTTATAATTTATAGCACTGACCCTTGGTGGCCCAATAATCATGCCTGTCCACCTTGTAAGCGTCATATCTTCATCATCTTCAAGGCCCCAGCTAACCGTACCATCACCCACTCCTTTTTGTCCTTCTTCAAGTTCTTCCAACAAGCGAAAATTACGAGGAACTTTAACTCCTATACAAAAAAAATCAATGTCAATGTAAAAAAAGCTCACAACTGTAAGAGCTATATATATTCAAATTCAGCTTTTTCCAAATTAACTTTTGCAAACCACTTCCCAAAAGACAAAATTCCCCTTTGCCCCAGAAAATGCTAATGTATTAACCCATGAAACTGAAATCACTAAGAAAAGCACTAATCACTTTTATACTGACATAAATCAATCATAAGGAAATCATAAAAAGCAAGTGATTTCCATTCCTATTCAAGAACAATACATCAAATAAATGGGTATGATCAGAAAGTTCACAAAGTTGCATTTCATTAACATAACACTCTAGTCCTTTTTTTTTTTAAT